GAGTGAAAGAAACGGGGGGGGTGAGTGTGGGTGGGCTCCGAAGAGTGACAGTGAAAGAGAGATGGAAAGTTTGTGTGGCTTGAGGTTGAGGCCCAGAATAGTGAGGTAAAAGGATTTTCCAGATTGTAGCTGCACTCCGCTGCTTACTCTCCCTGCCGCCCTGCCGGCAGGGGTGGTTATGTATCCATCCATTCATCATACACTCTTTGACACAAAACTTCCTTTCACTCATTTGGTTACATTTTGTTGCGTTTTGTTTTTGTTTTAGCTGCAGCCATCTCTCAGTGTGTGTCTGCGGTCTCCATTTGGCTTTGCACCTCTTCCTCTACCACTTTTCCTCTCTCTATCTCACTCTACCTTTCTTGATGTGCGTAATGAAATATTTCTTGATTTGTGTAAGTCAGACAAAGACCAACGAAGCAACAACAAAGGAGAACGAATGAATATGAGGCCAAAGCAGGAACAAAGAGGAACAAACATGAATATGGGGCAGGGGGTGTGGTAAAAGTTTGTTCGGGTACGGGCATAACGGTAAAAGAGCAAGCGGGCTGTGGAATGCGCATCTGTTTCTCTCTCTTTCTATCTCAGGTACGCGACAAAAAAATAAAGAATAAATGTTTCAGCACTGAGATACCCTCTAGATTAAGTTTAATTAATAGCACATGATCGAATTGGGAGGCAGGTAATAAAAGAAAAGGAGAGGGAGGGGAAAAGTACATATTCAATAGTATTTATTGATAAATATTCCTTTAATTCCGATGATTTTTGGATACCATAGGAGCCGAAGGATGATACGATGGACACTCCACCAAAATGCTGCGGCACTCTATGAATGCAACCACTAAGAGAGGATACAAAATGGATTTGTCTTGGCAATGGCCCCATAAAAATCTATTTCTAGAAGAAACCAAAAAACCATATTATTTTTTTTGACTAAATTCCAAAGAGATGCAATAAAATTCAATTGGAAACTTTGCTCTGCTCTGCCGCAGAAAATGAAAACAAAATAATGAATATACTTTGGGCCAACACACACTAAGACACTCAGGGACACGGACAGGGGCACGGACAGGGCTTAGAGACGCCGAAAAACTTGGCAAGTAGAGCCCCAAGGGAAAGGGCGAGCGAACGAGCGAACGAGCGAGCGAGAGGGAGAGAAGGATGCAGTTTCCTGCAGCAAACACATGTCAAATGCTCTTCCCCCCCTCCCCCTGCACTACACCACCCGTACCCAACCACCTTCACAGAAGGAAGGGGGGGGAAAAAAAACAAGTTTTTACTTCTAGAGGTTTTCCGAAAAAGTTGCACGGACAAATGGCAAAACTGCTTATCTCAACAAAAAGCCAAAGATGGAAAAAGGGAGCCGCCGGAGCACTACCACAAGAAGTGGACGCTGGAGGACTACCCAGTAGGGGGCGTGGAAAGCTGCACTAATGGTGCCAAGCAACCGGAAATGCCGCCATGCATGTCTGCCTCCATTTCAGAGGCTGTATATCGTACCACTTTTTACCCTCCCCCTGCCCCGTGCCCCTACCCATACTCAAGTAAGAGTAAAATCTTGATTGCCTTTTGCTGCAAGCCAAAGAAAATTTATAAGTTTTCCCAGCCATTTCCAAGAGATTTCCATTGGATCTCTCTCTCTCTCTCTCTCGCTCTTTCACTCATTCTCTTGACCCACCATCAAACATATCCATCTTTCCATCTATCTATCTATCTATTGCTCTTTTTTCTATGATAATTTCCGCAGTTTCGCTGTGCTTCTGGTATATGTAGAAACAACTGCAAGTTCGTCTCAGACTTACAAAAAAAAAAAGAAAAACCAGAAACAGGAACAGAAACAAAAAAACCGAAGAGGATGGTGATGAGCGAAATGGAATTGACATTTTGGCCTACGGCCAACGACCGAGTTGGAGTCTACTAAGTACAGGACACGGGGTTTATATAAGGGGCGCGGGGGGATGGCCAATAACCATGATGGTGTATAGCAAAAAGGTTTACTTCTTTGGTGGGAGTACTTTGGTCTGATGAGGTAAGCAGTTCATTTGGTTTGGCTGCTACTTCGATGGCTAATTTGTGCTCTGTTTCATAATTCTCCATTCATTTTCTATGACTCCATTACTCCCACACATCGGCTTTATATCCCTTACCTTAATTAAGACGGCTTCCTATTGTAAAGGCTCCTCCAAACCATATGTCCAAATCACAGCCAGGTAACAGGCTACAATTTTATTCGCAAAGCGCATAATCAATGCACTGCCACACCCACACACACACACACACAGGGTTCCAACAAAAAAGTGTGAAAATTTCTGGGCTAACGTTAATTGAATTTCGTACGGCAGCCAAAAAAGTATCCTCCTACTCTCGCTCCCCCAACCCATCCCATCCCACCCTACCCCTTGTTGTGCTTTTAGTGGAAAAGGATGCATTGTAGTCGCGCGCTTGGTCGATGATGGTCTGGCCTGCTTATCCAATTATCCACACCATATTTTTTTGGTTCTTTTGTAGGAGATTTTTGCTGCTGCATTTTCGGTTTTTCTGTTTGTGTGCGTTTTTGTTGGCATTAGCTCAAAAAGTTCGCTCATTAATGGCCAACAAAATTCACTTTTGCCAAAAACCCATTTCGGCGGAGTGCATGTTCGTTCATGTTCATGACGTGTGTGTGTGGCGCCTGTGTGTGTGTGTTGTGCGCTGTCTTTGTTTCTGTAATTGTTGTTGTTGGAACAACCGAACAACAAGCAGCTGCGGCTGCTGCTGTTGATTTTTGATGGTGGACGACGACTCCAATGTTTGTTTTTGGTTTTGCGCCACTGTCTGGTAATGTCTCCTCCTTCACCGCTGTTTGTGATTTGGAGAGAGAGAGAGAGAGAGAGCGCGGTGGAGATTTGCACTTTGCCCCTGGCAACCAATTTCTGGAACTGTGGAGTTGTGTGGGAACTGCGGCGGAAGTCAATAAAAGTTGGCCTAGTCCGTGAAACGTTTCGCTGGGGGAGTGTTTGAGTGGATTACCACAACTCCCTGCAGCAGCGGAATTAGCAAAGGATCCGAATGCAGGGGCATAATTATAGCATATTTACATGCATTATATACATATGTACATACACATTTATGTATCTAAATATGGTTAATGAGTAGCAATGTTTTCCTTTCATTAAAAAAAACAATTATGGATATAGGAATAACTGGAAGCCTCCTTGTTTCTTATTTAAGTTGGCGCAAAAATTCAAATTCAATTCGCCGTATTTTTATCCTCACAAAAGCTTTTCACCGCAGCAAGCAAAGCTGGACAGCAGCTTTGGTCCTTTAAGCAGCGCCATCTGGCGGTTTTAGGAAACAGCACAAACTGGCTCAAATAACGCCATCTGGCGGCCACTTCTCGCAACAGGATACAGCTTAAAAGCTCTCAAACTATTGCAACAGGTTGCAAAACAGACACACACACACACACACACACACAAAAAACCCAAAAAATACGGTAAATGCAGCAAGTGCAAATAAAAAAAAACGAAACAAATTAAGAAATTATGACGCACCCAAATATCCTCATCCAGAAGGTTCCACTCGTCGTTTAATTCGCTGTTCAGCTCGCAGCGGCGGTAGAAACCTCTCCAATTTCCCGCGATCACGACGCCGGGCGTCTCTAAAAACTCCGCTGGCCAGTCACTTTCCATTGCACGTTATTTGTTAAAACAGTTTTTGCAATAAATAAACACGACAACACAACGAACACAAAACAATATTCGATTCGGGTATAATTAAATGACAAAAACAAAAAAACGTTGATTCCACATAAGAAAAAAAATTACTCTGATGCGCCGCACACGCCGCCACAGAACCGTTTGCGCCGCGCAAGAAAAATGCAAGAAGAAGATGTAGAAAGGAGACAGAGGAGCGAACCCAAAGAAAACTCTGGTGAGCAGCGCTGTCGCGCCACGATGGCTATGACAGTGTGGGAGGCAACGGCGAAAATAACTGCGAGCGCGAGAGAGGGAGTAGAACTCGTGCTCAGACTCACTGCTATACCCTGCCAAAGAGTGGGCTTGTTTACGCAGTTTTTTGTGACACCACAGCGTAGGGACAAATAGCGCAAAAGTTGTCTCACTTATTATTGTTCAAAGTCCAAACCTTTGTAAGAGTCAACGAATTACGGTACTGTAAAATTAAAATCTAATCATCCCAATATGTGGTGTCATTGAACTCGAAGGGTATGTTATGCGTCGACCCACGCATAATTCTAATTCTCTTTTTGTTTCGATTTTCAGTTCTCATTGCTGCTGCGTGTCTGTGTGTGTGAGAGTGACGGAAAATAAGTCAATTTCAAGCGGTTACAGTTGCAGCGATTTTTTTCATTTATGTATTTACATACATATGTATAAATACGCATGTATTTACACTTTTTAGTTGCAATCGATTTCTTTTTTAAAATGGAATGCGTAAATTAATTGTTTACTTGCAGGAACATTTCTTATGAATCGAACATGAAAGGTAATTACCATGGAAGTAAGTACCAAAAAGTCTGTTATTTTGTTGGTTAGTGTTTATTTTTGATGGGAATTTATCCTACTTCCTACTTGTTGCTAACCGCGCTGCCAGCCATCCACGTATGTGTGTCTGTACATATGTATGCACGTACGTTTGGAAGTCTTGTTTTGCTTCACACTTGTTGAGGGTGAGTGTGCGGATTTGATGCATTTTTTTAGCAGAGCGAAGGAGAAGGAACATGCACAGACCCTATTATGAGCTGCTATTAGATAATAACTCTGAACATACATACATATGTACATATGTATGAAATTAAGCTAAAGGAAATCTAAATCAGATCTCTTGATTAAATATTTTCGGCAAGCTTGGGCACGATCGATCTGCAAGGGCATTTAGTGCGTCGTCAGAAATTCTGTGCATTGTAGTGTGTGCGTGTGTGAAGTGAATTTTTTCCGTCGCTATTATTTTCTTGTTGGTTATTAAAAATTCAAGTTTTACTGTTTTAGTGACTTCCTTACCTGTCTTTGATGAAATTCCACTACCGGAACACTTCCATTTACTTCAACTGCCGGCGCAGACATTTTGTTGTAATGTTTTTCGTTTTTTTTTTTGCGGGTTTTCTCTCAAATATATTTTTTAATTTTTTTGTAACTGTTGTTGCTCTTGGCTTTTCTATCACGCACCAAATACAGTAATACTTATACACAATCAACACACTCGTATATTATACACGTGTGTCGTGGCATTCCATTCCATATTCCTCCTTTTTTGGCACCTAATTGAATTCGAGTCGAGATTTTAGGGTCCTAGGAGGTACAGTTATTTGTACGTGTACGTGTACGTGTCACCAATACACAAATACCGGCTAGTGCACGCGCGTGATCTCCTAACGGTGAATCCCACTGGGGAGTGGACTCTAACAGTTTATTAAGGGATTCTGATGCGGCTTCATTTCTGTTTTCTGTCTTCTTGTTTGTGTTCCCGTTAGCTGAAACGACTGTAGACAGAAGGAGAGAAAATGGCATTATTTATGGGAAAGTATTTTTAGAAAAGCTTTGTAGTAAATGGAAAGAGGGTGGAGGAGCCCCCACCCACTAGTGTATTATTTACTAAGGAAGTAAAACGGGAAATAAAATGTGCAAATGTATTGCAAATGATAACAGTCAGATTGGACAGTTCCGCCATGGGCGGCTAGATGGTACTTCTTTGGTAGGAAGCGAGAAAAAGGGAATAAAAGATACAGAGAGATTGCTAAATGTCATACGTTATGGTAGATACTATATATGTATGGTATACATATGTATGTACATATGTACGTTTCATAAAAAATAAGATTGGTGGCAAGGTCAGATATTTGAGAGTAGCAGCAAGAAATGTTTAGAGTTTGATACGGATTGAAAAGTGAAGTGTAAGTGTTCCCATCACATGCCATTTTCTACATTAATTTATACAATAATAACAATCCCAGCAAGCCCTTGATGCGATTTCAAATCTCTTTCAATATATTTCTATTGATGTTGGCACTCTGTATATTTTATATATTATTTTTACTCACGAAAACTTCCTGCCTTTTGGCCTCAATTTGCTCAGTACTGCACAGCGTTTCGGTGGATCAAAGTACAGAAAACATTCACAGCTCAAACAAAAGGATCAGTGGGGTTTCCCAATTCCCTTAAATTGGCTTCTAGTTTTAACTTGATGGTGAGTTTAATTGTCTTTGCTACGTATGCACAATATTCTAGAGCTCGATAGAAACCACTAAGAGCAGTAAAGAAATGGGTGGACCTCTTCTTTGGATAGTTTATTGGGGGTGCACTCTAAAAGTACATCTATAAACCCTTCTGTGATTAGTGAAGTATCTTCCATGCATTATTATTATCAAGGTATCTGCAATATCTTTAGCTAACTTTAGTTGGCTTTGATTAAAGCCTTTTCCATCGGAGAATTATCTTACGGATGGGCTTAAGTTTATAATAATAATAAATCCGTAGCTAATACTCCGCCAAAGGGTATGCATATAATCCCCTGTGTATACTCATTCCCACCACACCCATTTTGATTCCATATTTCTGATCTTTATGTTTATCTTTGCAGTTGCTGGAAAATTCCTTCAAACCTTAAATCGATCAACTCAACTGCCGATCAACTCAGTTCGTGTTCGTATTCACATTTTGAGTTGCTTGACTCTGCCGTAAGTAATCTGTATTTATTTCCAGGCAGAACACATCCACAAGATACAAATATGTATTCGCGGATGCCGATGGCCCGATCTCTGGCGAAGAGCTGTCGTCTGGTGGTGCAGCAGCGGCGTCTGGCATCGATTGCCTGTGCCGACGCCCATAAGGGGGGCAAGGGCCTCGTCCTGGGGCTGTACGAGAAGGAGGCGGGCAGGGGGCCACGCCTGACGCCAGCCGGCGAGAAGTTCGACGACCGTCTGCACGGCAAGCTGAACGAGCTGATATGCGAGACCAGGATCAGTGGTCGCCTGGGACGCGGCAAGGTGTTCAACAACATCGACGAGGAGTTCAGGTCGGTGTGCGTGGTCGGTGTGGGGCTCGAGGGCATCGGCTTCAACGAGCTGGAGATGATCGACGAGGGCATGGAGAATGTCCGCGTGGCCGCCGGCATTGGTGCCCGCTCCCTGCAGTCAATCGAGTGTATTGAGATCCACGTGGACAACATGGACTACCCGGAGCAGGCGGCCGAGGGCGCATTGCTGGCCACTTTTCGCTACGAGGACAACCTCTCCAAGAAGTACCGCTCGATCCAGCCCAAACTGGAGCTATTTGGGTCGCCGGACACTGACTCTTGGCTGCGAGGCCTCTTCAAGGCGGAGGCCCAGAACATCTCGCGCCTCATCAGCGAGGCTCCGGCCAACTGCATGACGCCCACGGCCTTCGCACAAGTTGCCGTGGACAAGCTCTGCCCGTGCGGCATCACCGTGGAGGTGCGCACGATGGAGTGGATCGAGCAGCAGCGGCTGCACTCCTTCCTGACGATTGCCAAGGGCAGCTGCGAGCCGCCCGTCGTCCTGGAGCTCGCCTACTGCGGCACCTCGCCCGAGGACAAGCCGGTGCTGCTGGTGGGCCAGGGCATAACCTTCAATTCGGGCGGCATCAATCTGCGTCCGTGCAAGGGCATGGACGAGTTCCGTGGCGACTTGAACGGAGCCTCCTCCATCCTGGCAACCATGCGAGCGGCTGCCGCCCTGTCGCTGCCGATCAACATAACGGCCATCCTGCCGCTCTGCGAGAACCTGCCCTCTGGCATGGCCGTGAAGCCTGGGGATGTGGTCACCCTCCTGAATTCCAAGAACATGGCGATTCGGAATATCGATCGCACTGGAGTGGTGGTCATTGCGGATCCCCTGATCTATGGCCAGCAGACGTACAAGCCCCGTCTTGTCGTAGACATTGGATCGATGTGCAAGGGCGTGAAGAAGGCTGTGGGCGGAGGCGCCACGGGCATCTGGTCCAACTCGCATTATGTGTGGAAGCAGTTCCAGAAGGCTGGATCCCTCACCGGGGATCGCTTGTGGCGCTTCCCGCTGTGGGACTTCTACAGGCGCCGAGTGGCCAATCACATAAGCTTCGATCTAACCAACGACGGCGATGGCCTGGCCTCGTCCTGCCTGGCGGCCGCCGTGCTCCACGAGCTGGTGCCCTGCGCCGATTGGGCCCATCTCGATACTTTTGGCACTGGCCTGATGTCCACATACGGCCTGATACCGTATCTGCGAGCGGGCCAAATGACGGGACGCCCCACCCGAACGTTGGTGCAATTTCTGTATCAGTTGGCATGTCCCAGCGAGTAGCTGTTCGGTTCAGCTGTTGATTGGATCGGATCTATATTTGTTTTTATTGTTTCGATTGTTTCTATATATTTTAGCAGACAACACAGACAGAGGTACACGCCACACAGTGGAATGAATGTCTTTCGGTAACAAATTCAACAGAGCAACAGCAACAGCAACAGAATACCAATCAATGCACCAGCATATAAACATATCGTATAAACATATCAACAGAAAATTGATGTATCAGTAAATATATTAGAAATGTTTGGCCTTAAATCAAATTCAATTCAATTTCGTTTAAAGGAATGTTTTGGGTGGAGAAAGAATTTCCGATTCATTAATTTGCTAGAGCGAATATTTTGATATCTCAGTCAAATCTTACTTATGTAATGTCGCAAGATTGTTTCAATTAACAGAGCGGAGAGAGATATTTCCATGAAATTTTGCTTTGTGGTTTTTATACCCCTACTCAAAAAACAGTTTACATTTGTGGTAAAAGTGGATGTGTGTAACGCAGAGAAGGAAACGACTCCGACCCCATAAAGTATATATATTCTTGATCAGCATCCATAGCCGAGTCGATATAGCCATGTCTGTCTGTCTGTATCGATGAGATCTCAGAGACTATAAGAGCTAGGGCAACCAAGTTTGGTTTTCAGAGTCATGTGATATCACACTGCTACTAGTGTATTTCAAAATTTCGCCCCGCCACCACAAAGGACGAATATCTGTGGCAGGCACAATTTTAAAGATACGATAAAACTAAAAACGCAGTATCGTTGAGAATGATCTTATCTACCAGATTGCCGAATCTGAATCAGATTGGATCATAATTATAGCCAGAATAAAGAAATTTATTTTTAGTAGCTTCCCCTGCCTCCACCAGCCAGAGACCCGCTGCTCATTCTCTTTCTCGCTCGCACATTCTGCCGCGTTCAGTGCGCGAGCGCCCTCTAGCGGAGGAGATGTAAAATCTAAATGGTACATCTATAATCTACATGTTAGATGTATAATATACATAGTAGATGTATATGTAGATAACAGATGTAGAACAAAATTGTAAAATGTAAATTTTTTTTTAATTCCAAAATTCTAAAAAATTATAAGCTCAAAAATGTATATACTGACTGAGTACGGGTATAAGTAGAGTCGCGTCCCCAGAAGCGACTCACACGTTCCTTCTCGTTATTTTCTCCTTTTCTTGTTTTTAATTTTTTTATTCTCCTTGTAGAACTGCATGCCACGAATGTTAAAATATGCATCTTACTTTTACACTTTTTTAATTCTTTCCTTTGTTTCGGCTTATTTCAGCTACTTTTGTATAATTTATTTTAATTTATGTTTACGCTTGCAGCAACAATTTGAAGTTTTTTTCCACGTCTCATTGTCTGTTGGAATTCCCCTTTTAATAAAAATGTTTATGCAAAAATGCAGGAAAAATATGCAAAAATCTACTAGAATCCAAATTCCGAAAAATAAATAGAAAAAATATAATATCTCTAAACATACATATATACATTTTTTGTGTACCGTGGGGGGCCGCGTGGGAGCCGGAAACCGGCTTAAACCAAGTACAATTAGACGGCGCAATCACCGAAAAGCACCTTGCAGCCACCCACCAACGGTGCTCCCACTCCACTCCACCCCTTGGCTAACTAAGCCCCATCAAACTGCTGCTGACACATTTGGCACATGCTAGTGGGGTGGCTGTCCGGGCTGTATTCCGGGCTGTATTCCGGGCTGGTGAATGATGCTTTCTGAGGGCGGAGGCCCGCACAAAATACCCTTTGCCCTGCGCCATCCTCGGAACATGCTACATTGCTAATGTGTCCCATTTGCAATGGCAAACCACTGAAGCTTAACACGTTGTCTACGCAGCCACGCCCCAGCAACGTCCTACTCCCTATACTCACTACTCACAGCATTGCCTCTTTGTGGCGCACAACTCACTGCCTCTGCCACTGCCGCCACTCTGTGGAAGAATGGGCCAGGGAGACAGAAGCAGTCCTGAAATGTATGCTATAGTTTTTGCCTTGCCATGTGTGTGTGTGTGTGTGCTGGCACACATTCGAGCACTCCATCTGTGTGTGAGTGTGTGTAAAGCCATTCAAAGTTGCATGTTGGACCAGCAGCAGCAGGCGCAGACTTGGACCCCGGAGGGAAGCAGAGAGACGTGCAAGGGACCCCCAGACCTCAGATCT